ATGTCGGAATTGTTATAAAATTCTAGGTTTATATCAATGGATGAGCCTTTCTTGCTTGAACATCGAGAAGCATTGAGAGCCATGTGAGATGCCACTATGATATACTTCAATCTGATAAGTTCACAAAGGATGACTATTTATTATTTGGTTGATACTATGCAGGGCAGAATTTGGGTCAATTCTCGTTTACTTCTATATTTGTGATCGGACAACTCTGTTCTCACAATCCACCAAGGTCCTTGCCTTGTGCTTTGATTTGATCATTGTGTATTCTTCTTTGCAAAGTTTATAATCTTGACTAAGCTGGTTAGTAGAAATAACTATTTATTGGTCTAACCAATTATCGATATCGAAACATATAGCTCGATGTTGGCATAGTATTATTTTTTTCTATTTTTATTATTTTTTTCAATGATACCACAAAATATAGATTGGTGTGCCATCCAGTATCTTTCGGAAACGTACCAATTCTTATATGTGACCGAAATTTATATGCTTGGTTTCGTGCTTGCTAAATTGATAATCCAGAAGTATATATTTTGTCTAAACTATGCAAAGTGTTTATAGAAATATAAGATCTGTATGAATTAAAAAAAAATTATGCAATTGTCTAAGCGTCAGCACTTGTTTGTAAAAAACATATGGCATTTTGTTTCTAAAACCAGCATCCAGCATCTCAAAGCTTATCTATATATTATAGGTAGCTAAAAGATTAACATGTTTTTTGGTATTAACCGGATAACTTCAGAATTTAGAAATGTGATTGTGATAGTGATATTGGACAGACCCTCATGTTATGCTCATATTCAGGATATTTTGTGTTGCATCAGAATAAGTTGTATTCTTATGGACATTCTTACATAAAGATGACACATCGTATCCTGGTTCTTGGTTGCTTTTAACTTGCAGTAATACATGACCATAATGAACACTTTTCTGGGTTCCTGCTTTTCATAGAAGAGCTTACAGTTGGCTTTATGAATGACCAGAGCAACATGATGATGCCATGAAATTGCTATAGTAGAGCTATTTCTAACTTGCAGTTATGGACCAACTTGCAGATATAATCATTCTCTGTACCCATTTTACAGTTTGAGATATTTTAATATTTTCTTTACACCTGTCTCTGTAATTGTACGTGCAACACAGTGTAGTTCGCATCTGGTTATCATTTTTGCATGTGAACCAGACTATGTGAACAATGGCAATTGTTTTATTTTCTTATAATTTTCCAATAAAATTGTGTTGAGAATTCCTTGATTTTGTCAACTGACCTTTTAATCCATTGAAGTTTTTTTTCCTTATCTCTGTGATTTAATTTTTCCAGAGTTACAGCCGGGACCTGTTTCTTTTTCTTTATATCCTTCTTATTATAGCATCAGCCCTGACTTCTCTGAAGAAGCACCATGACAAGTCAACTTTTACAGGGAAATCTATATTTTACTTAAATCGTCATCAAACTGAGGAATGGAAAGGATGGATGCAGGTCAGTTGTCACTTTTTTCCTTCTTAGTGTGCTAGTTCTTTTAACTCTTGTAGGACATCAATTCATAGATTGTCGCCAAAATTGTCACGAGAGTGTTTACTACCATTTTCCTTGGTTCAGCATCTGAGATTCTTCTGTGCCGGCATGATAATCAGCACAACCCTGATTCTGTTCTCAGGGTGTGCTGACACATCCTTTTGGATGTCACTGTGTTTGCTTGCATGGCATGCCATTTTCTATTTGGATCTAAGATTTTTAAATTTTAAGTTCAATTGTAGGCCAAGAGCTTATCAGTTAATGAAGATGCTACTTGGAGTCTTGAAGAGCATAATTGTCTAAATTGTTTGTCAGTTACTGGTACAAATTAGAGCTAAGTTAGCTTGTCAAGTATCTTTATCACATCCAAACATGTGGGATTTCTTTCCCAATAGTAATACAAATTTTTGATGATAGCCCTTCATATTGTTGTTGTTGCAACAGAAACTGCACCAGATGAATATTAAGTTAACCTAGTAGGTTAATAATTTCTAACCACTGTAAGTTTGTAGAAAGCCTACACAACTTGATATAATGTACGGATGACTTTGGAACATAATTTTGTCATTGCTGAATTGTAACTAGCATGATAAATAATTCCCCTGCAAGTATCTCAGGCTGCCTTGATATTTTAATGAGACTTCAATTTTGAAGTGTGTATCTTCCCAAATTCTGAGTGGCATTGCTTCAAAATAATAGTTTTCCACTGATTTTAGTAGCATTCAACAAACCACATCTCACTTAGTTATCACTAAATAATGTGCAACAGTAAAACTGACTGTCGCAAACTGCTGAACACTACCATTTTGATTGAGCTTATCTGTATCAGTTATTTATTTAACCATCTTCTTCCCAGGTTCTATTCTTAATGTATCACTACTTTGCTGCCTATGAAATATACAACGCGATAAGAGTGTTCATTGCTGCTTATGTTTGGATGACTGGCTTCGGAAACTTCTCTTACTATTATGTTCGCAAGGATTTTAGTGTTGCCCGGTTTGCTCAGGTACTTGCATGAGTTCTGTTCCCCTGATAAGTGCTTTAAGTTACTAATATTCTCCCTTACTAATCTGGAAGCACAATATCTATCAAAATGCAGATGATGTGGCGGCTTAACTTTTTTGTGTCATTTTGTTGCATTGTCCTGAACAATGATTACACCCTGTACTATATCTGCCCCATGCACACACTCTTTACTCTCATGGTGTATGGAGCCCTTGGCATTTTTAACAAGTATAATGAGATTGCACCCGTAATGGCTGTGAAGATAATATGCTGCTTTCTGGTGGTTATTTTAATCTGGGAAGTTCCCGGGGTATTTGATCTCCTGTGGGCTCCTTTCACGTTCCTAATAGGTAAATTTTAACTACATATCCTGTCTGTAACTTGAATTTTTTTATTCTTCTTAGACTTTCTGATGCAGGATACAGAGATCCCGATCCTTCCAAATCAAACTTACCACTCTTACATGAGTGGCACTTCAGATCAGGCCTTGATCGCTATATTTGGATTGTCGGAATGATATATGCTTATTACCATCCAACTGTAAGTGTCTTGTATTCAATTAATGTGATCCATGGATCTAGTCTTTTCAATTGTTTGAAGGAAGCATCTTCATATTATTGGTAGTAGTGGCACTCATGGAATACTTTCACATTTACTTTTGAATGTTGTGCATTTGATCTCTTCTTTCTTCAGTTGCTTATATTTTCAAGCTTGTGACAGGTTGAAAGATGGATGGAGAAGATCGAAGAATCTGATACAAAAAGGAGGCTGTATATCAAAACAAGCATAGTTTCTGCTTCATTATTGGTGAGTCATTGTTTATTGGCTTTGAACTTTTATAAAGTGACTTGTACAGTATAACAGTTCAAAGGGACATCTTTATTCTTGCAGGTTGGTTATTTATGGTATGAGTATATCTACAAACTAGACAAAATTACCTACAACAAGTTCCATCCATACACATCATGGATCCCCATCACGTGCGTATGAAAGCTTGTTCAAAGTCATTTTAATTTTTAATTTGGTGTCCTCTCGAAAAGGTCATGACTCTGGTTTTGTTAATTCCAGTGTTTACATTTGCCTACGGAATTTCACCCAGCAGCTTCGCAGTTCCTCCCTCACTCTCTTTGCGTATGTTTCAATCATTTTCTCCGGTTTTTTGCTTTAAGGATATTTGCTTTTGGAAGAATTTTTTTAACCTCTTTATTCACCAGGTGGCTTGGCAAGGTCACCCTGGAGACCTATATCTCTCAGATCCATATCTGGCTGCGGTATGATAATTCTAGTCCTGCTGCAATTTGACAGGCCTGTTCTTAACATTATCATGAACTTCACAATTTAACAACTTGAGCAAACAACTGCATCGTATTTCATGTTTTAAAAAACTCAAGCAATAAACTATGGCAAGGTTGAAGTCTTTTGAATGACAACCATGTCCAGTTATCTTCCTGAATCTATTGTAGCTGACAAAGCTTCACAGGGCAAAAATTAAAAGTTTAAAACTATAATGCACCTATTGTTGCCATAATGTCCATGATGAATTGACTACCAAATAAATGTGGGTACAAAATATTTTGAAGTTTCATGTTCCAGCCTCCACGTCTTGACTCTTAAAACTTATTTCGCTATCGGAATTACCAGGAATTTTAGGTCCTAATGGACTTCAATGTTTGTTTTACATGATATGCAGGTCAAACATGCCAAATGGCCAGCCCAAGTGGCTTCTTTGTTTCATTCCAAGTTACCCTTTGCTCAATTTCCTGCTTACTACTGCCATGTATCTCTTTGTAAGTTGATCTCACATCAACTCAGCAGAACTCCATAAATAAATTCAACTAAAATAATTGGTTGTACCGTTGCTGCAGATATCATACAGAATATTTGACCTGACAAATTTGCTGAAGGCAACATTCATTCCGAGTAAAGACAACAAACGCCTCTTTCATAATCTTATATCTGGAGCTATCGTTTCCTTCTGCTTATATTGTATCTCAACAGTTATTCTTCACATTCCTGGGATATCGGTATGACATCTTGTTTTCTGTTAAAGATCTCGAAAACCTTGTGAAGAGCTTTTACTTATTACTAATTGACCTTTTTAACAGGGATGAAGAGCCACAATCTGCACCAAAAAATGAGGTCTTCTGTTGGGCTGCCAAATCTTTCGGTTTTGGCGAGACGGTTCCTGTTTGTCGCAACTTGTAACATTCCGATAAATGCAATTTTGGTGATAATTATATGCCTCAGTTATACCAGACAACTTGTTTTGGCACACAATTGGAGATAAGTATTTAGAAAGGTTAGGGGCAATTTTATTCAAAAACAAGCCAATCTTTTGTGTTTTACCGATAATATTGAATGACCATTCGTCACTAGTAATCTGGTGGGGGCTTATGGTGGTTTTTCTTTTTCTCTAAATAATTGGATACTTTAGTGTCAATATTTCATTTATTTTATATTGACATTACAGGAAAAATTATAAGAGGAAGGCTTTCTTCATGTCTTCACCACAATAAATCATGACACTGTATTGATTCGCGGCTAATAACTCAACTGTGTTGACTGACAGCCGAGCAGAACTTCATGAAACTTTTAGATTAGCACAAATTGCTGTAAACGTTTATTGAGGAATCGGGTTTGTAATTTCATGGCATTATTCCACAGGATGTTGGTTAGAGATTAGGAATAGAACATAAATATGCTTGTTTGTTTCTTATGATGAAAGTAATAGATTAACATTCCATCTTTTAGGTTTCTTGTAAGAACTAATTCACTTTAGGCTTTTTGACTCAGCTGGACTCAGGTTGGATGTATATGTTCACAAGTTAACAGGAGTCTCCTCAAGGAAACCTTGGTGAATATAATTTAATTATATCAGGGAGTTTTCGAGGTATGTATATAACCACATAATTGAAGAGCAAAATCAAATTATCTGTTCTAACCACACCAACATCGAAGATTGTAATAAATGGTAATGCATACTGAGTCGATTACAATCTTCTAATCCGAGATCGTCTCACCAAAACCTTCCATCGCCATTCATAATCTCAACTTGGATGTTGGATCGCATACGAAATCTTGGGACCGCTCTTCAGCCATACACGCAGCTGCCAAAACCTGCAAGAAGAAAAATGCAATGCAATGCAATTTTGATCCTTTACATCTCCTGATGTGATCGGTTTTTGAAGATGGGGGACTCACTCGGGTCGGTCGTCACGACGAGCGCCGAGTTGTCGAAGTAGCAGTTCCACCTGTTCCTGCCCATCGCCCGGTAGTAGAGGTTCATGGCGATGGAAGCATGGGAGATGAGGATATCCGGGTCGAAGCAGGCGCCTTTCCGCTGCAGCACGCTGCAGTCCACCTGAGAGCAGGCGTAGTCCAAGTTGGCGATGAGAGTTGCTTTGTCCGACGAGGGTTTCGCCACGCACCAAGTCTTCTGCAAACGCGCAGAGGAAGCTGCTGCAATCCCCAGGCGATACATACAGTAAGTAGTAAACTGTTGCCAAGATGAGCCGGAAAGTTACCTGTTCCTGCGCCTGCACCAGCTTCACCGATCCTCCTGCTGCGAGAAAGATGTGTTAGAATCATCGACAGAGATGAATGGAGCAAGAAAAGGAGAGGGCTTCATAAAGACAGCACCTGGCGTTAGAGAGAGGAGTAGCAGTGCGCAAGTGAGAGACACAAGGAAAGAGGAGGAGAAGGTTGCTACAACTCTCCCGGCCATTGCTCAGTTTAGCAGAGCAAAGAATGGTTCGGAGTGATCGAAGATATAAAGGGAGAGGGAAATGGAAAATGCAACGCCCGCCCGTATCTATCCGGTGGCGACGAAGAGGAGTGCATTCAATATGGTTTGCGGTCTGGAATCGGGTGCGGTGATCGCAAAGATACACTGACAAGTGCAACGTCCACGGACAGTGGTGATTCACTGGAAAAAGGCCCCACGTTTCTATTTCTTCTTCATGTGAACGGCGCCAAAGAAAGGCTCTTCTTTTACATTTGGAATATCTTCAAAATAAATATTAAAAAAATTCATATATAAAGATCCAATTAGAAAACTATATTTAATATATATACATATATTTTCTATAAGTCCTAAGGATCATGATTGATAATTGTTTAAATGCCTTTCACCATGTAAGAAGAGCATGTCTAAAAAAATTAATTGAAAATAAAAATTTATTCAAACAACAAAACAGTTGAGACAAGTATTATATTTTCATTTTTTTCTTGAGAGGGATGATTATGTTAAGATAGATAAAATCTTTATAAATGATTGAGTTGGTTAGTGCATTTGTGTGAGTGTTGTTAGGCTTTTAAATACAATGAATATATCTTTTATTTTATTTTATATTTTAAAAAATAATAATTTTACTAAAATATCTTCATTAATTGGGGGAAGAATCAATCAACACGACTAAGATTTTTTCATGAACCTCTCTGGAGAAAATTCACAAGGCTACTGCTTATGTGAGATGTATCTGTATTAACCTACCTGACTGATTGTTCTGAGAAGGTGAGAAGAATTCATTCTGTTCCAAAGCTATCATCCAAAATTTGCAATCCTCTGTATGACCATCACCTAAGTGTAAGATGACATTTCTTACATCAACAATTTTATAATTTTACAGTCATTCTAATTAATTTTATGATTAATTTTATAATTTTTTAATTAGATCAAGTGAGTTTGAATCAGTTAAATTGGTCTAAAGTCATTCTAAAAGATGAATTTAGACTGTATTGTAAAGTGTTAGCCTACATCAAACTATCCCACTTGAGCCTTAGATAGATCACATATAGTATAGATGCCGATCATAGATAATAAGTTGGGTTAAGATACAATGGGTTAGATAGAGGAGATAACGATGTGTCTAGTGTCATTCGTATAACTATGTAGATCTAATTTTTAAACTAGGTTAAATCTCACTCACGGATTAGGTTAAGCTTCATGTTTAACTCTAAATTAAATTATGTTTGGCTATATAAGTTGAATCGTATCTTAACCCAACCGACACATAGGCTTAACAATTTTTGGGCAGTATTACTGCATGACTTAGAACTTTAATAATGTTAAGAATTAGGGAATGAAATCAATGCATGCATGCATGCAATCATGAAACATTCTTCGTGGTTTTCATGAGCAACGAGTGTATAAATAAATTATAAATTACTTTTAATATTCAAACATTCTAATACTAATCTATAGCAATATTATCCAAACAAAAAGTTATGTTAACGAGAGTATGATCCGACAGGGATCAATTTCCATGCAGACGGTCACCAAAAACACACGACGAATTCGAGGGAAGACGTCGGACCAGCCGCGGATGGCCTTTGGATAGGTTTCCTGAAGAGAGAGAGAGAGAGAGATCTCCGACGGGACAGGAACGGTGCGATGCACCGCCTAACGAGATGCTGACAGGCAGCTGAAGGCCCGAGAAGGAGTTGGCCCATTCATTAAACTCACCGTCAGCAGAGCAGACCCACCTTCAAATGGCCTATGGTCGATAATTCTTTGATCGGTCATATATAAGCAAAAAAATAATTTTAATATTTTAATTATTTTTTTTTTTTATCATATCTTAATTAAAATTTCTTAATCGATTACTGTGGTAATGACGGACAACGATGTCACTAGAGCCATGCATGATTGTTGTGATAGTGATCGATGAGAATGATGCGATAGTCGATCTTACTAATGTAGATTTGAACATTGACAATCGAGACAAAAGGGGTGGGTATGACAGCAATGGCGATTTGATGATGGTGGTGGTGATTCTCGGAGATGTCTTTGGACACAGACGAGATAGTGCTATAGGGACTTTTGCGGCTTCTTGCGGGAGAGGAGGGAGAGCAGTGGTGGGAAGTAAGGCAAAGGGAGAGGAAGAAGAGAATGATGACGATGATTAGGAAGAAGGATAAGAGATCACAGAAAGGGGGAAGAAGGATAAGTGCCACTTTGCATTTGTATTGACGCTAACCCAGATGCATGCAGGGTGATGCAAAGCAAAAGTTGTAGATGTATAGTAGAGTGATGTTGCTCTCTGCGTTAGCATGGCCATTGTCCTCATCCTTTTCTTGCTCTCCCTTTGCCTCATATCTCATCATTGCTCTCCCTCCTTTTCCTCATCCTCCCCTCATGAGAAGTCATAGAAGTCCTTAACTCCACCTCTAGGACTCCACCATGCATGTCTCTAAGGACATTTATGAGATCTACCACTACCATCATCAAACCATTACCATTGTTATGATCATTGCTCCTACCTCAGTTGTAGATGTTTGGATCCACATCGACAAGACCAACCACTACCACAATAGCCACTTGCGATCACCGACAACACCACTATTTACCACCACCATAACAGTCGACTAAGAAATTTTAATTAAAAAAAAAATATATATATAATTAGGACGTTGAAGTTATTTTTTTGTCATTGTATCTTTCGTCGGTAAAGTCGATGAGATTAAATATTTTACTTCTATAATTATATATATTCTAATATAAATTTTTTAATTTAGTGACCAGAATATTAAAGAAGGGTTAATATGCAAAACATTGTTATGAGTCGTAAATTCTGCAAGGGTTTCATATATGAACTGAAAACATTGTTTGCTTGGTCCCTAAATGATCGATCTTCACCATTTTTAAAGCTTGATCAAGGATAAATTGTTCTTAAAATAGAAACAAAGCAGTTCTTGAACATTTTCCGTGGATCTAATCCTTTAACTAGTCACAGAATCTGCACGAACTATTGCAGGAAGCCAAACACAGTGATTTCCGAGAGCTGGCGATGCTTGCGAGAGCTGGGGGACAGTGACCAGGGGAATCAGATTCTCATGTGAGGTACATGGGGTAAGTGTCCTCGTTTCACTTGGGAACCATGAGAATAGTCTGAGGATATGATCTTAATGATCAGTGGATGTCTGAAACAAAGGGTCAGAGTCCTCCTAGGAAAGAGACAAGTAATATACATTCTTTACTGAGCCATGAGAATATATGCTGCTTTCGTTAGGTTTATGTTGTTTTAGTGGATGTTGGAATCCACTATGAAGATGATGGCTCGCTTAGATTAAGTCACAGATTCTTTGTTTATCTCTGAAATAATAGATATGAAACTACATAATGTGAAGTAACTGTATCAAGATTAAACTTGGGCACAAAGAGACCTACAACTTAGAGCTGAGGAAACTTCAATCCTTAGACCTATACTTGGGGCAAGAACATCTCTCGAGTAAAAGCAGTCTCTCACTGAAATCTTAGATAAACGGAACCTGTCATCAATCCTCAGATGATTGGTTGTAAAATACATTCCCAACTTGCCATCAACTTATTGCTGCAGCAGAGAACAGCCTCCACTTAGTCTACACTACTTCGACTTTTAGAATGGTGGGGAAGATCCAGATGATGAGGACATGGTCTTAAAGATGCACCTTCGCCTGTTGCAGTAGACAAGCCAAAGCAAAATGTACTCAGTGCTTCTAGTTTAGCTGCATGAGTATCTGATGCGAGAAATCAAATTTGCCTTCAATAAATCGCAACAAGTTATGGCTTAGCAATACAACTCGAAGCACTCAAACAAACACCGTCCAAGCTTTACCAGAGAAGGCTAAAGAAATCAATGTGGTGAAAAGGGAGACACTCTTAAAGCTGCTGTGATTCAACACAAAGCAAATCAACTGGGAATGACGATCAGAGAGAGAGAGAGAGAGAGAGAG